CTGTAACATTCAAATGGAAAGCAATATCTCATATTTAAATTTTGTTTCTCTAGTTACATTTATAAAAATGTACAGTAGCTATTTTTTTTTTTTTTTTATTGGACTGCAGCGTAGACTATAGATATTAGACTGTACATTCATATTTTATAAGCACGATATTTCTAAAGGAATAGAAATCCCAGCTCACAAGGAGTACTATACTGTGGGTATTTCATACATTATCCCACGTTTCATCCATTTCTGCATTAAAATTTCCCAAGGATGCATACGAATCCGCAATCTACCAATTAATTACCATTAATTCGTTCAGCTTTCATTCTTGCGGTGCAGAATGAATCGAATTGTGACGTCGTGACCGCGCAAGCGTACTCACGTGAAACACTCGGTATCAGAGAGCTTGCGAACAAAGGGAAAAGAGATAAGAGGGGTGTGTGTGCACGTTTAGTAGGATACGTGGGAGAGTGGTTCTCGCGTGCTTGCGGGCGCGTGCGCGCGTGTAGGTGGAACACATAGATATAGGGAGCGGACGAGGAAGAAAGCAGTATCAAAGGGGGGTGGTAGTGGTGACGTTGGCGGTGGTACGCGAGGAGAAGAGGTGCGACAAGAGGCTTCATTCGCGAGCAGCGTATGAACGCAACGAAACAAGCGGCCGTAGTCGGGCGGCAAACGATAAACGTTGTGTCGGTATGTGCGAGCGAAGATCATTAAAAGCTAGATACTCGCGTTCAGAGCCTGCCACACGCGCACGTACATACGTCCTACATTGAAAGTGTACTGTTAAATTACTTCTGGTCCAAGATAGATTAGAAACGAACGCAGGATAAACGGCCAGAAATCGAAGAGAAAAAAAAAGTCCTCGTGAATGTGAAAGAACGGCGACGGAGGAACGAGAACGAGGGATGTGAAAGCACCGTGAGGTGGGTGTCGAAGGCACGAGGATGGCCGTGACGTCGATGAGAGGACACAACGACATCGGACGTCGTACTAACTCAAGGGTGGCTCAGTAAGCACGACACCTACGTAACCAAGAAGACGACGCCTACGTACCGCGCAAACACGCCGGGAACGCATCGTAACCGACAGTTTTTATGTAAATCAATAATTCGAGCACGACGAAGCATTGCCTGTTATTTCGTAGAATAACGAGCGGCAACGATAACCGGTGACGTCGACGGTAGCGAGCGGCCGACACTCGATAACGAGTTTTTATCTCGATAGAAACGTTCACAGACGTTGGTCGAGCGTGGAACAAAGCAAAGGGCGTTCGTCGTTGATTTGTCTTTCGCGTGCCAATAATCGGTGGTGGTCCGCGTACGTGTTCCGAATTGTATAGAGGAGAGGGTGGCGGCGTCGAGCTCGCTGGTGCATAATGTGCAACGTTTCCGAGAAAGGGGTAAGTCGGACTGCCAGCTACCATACATACGCACGTCGATTCGTATAAGCGAACCTACGTTTAACGATCGCTCGAAACCTCGAATTGGGTCACTTTCACTGACAGCTTGGTTTTCCTCGTGCTTTTATAACCGTACGTGCTAATTGCGGTAAATAAAGTCACTCGTTTCGGTGCTTCTGCCAGTAAAAAATAGTTTTAGTAGCAACCATGGTGTGTAGTGGCTGCATTGTTGCACGGTTTCTACTGCCAGATATGTATACATGTCTCGTCAGAATTATTACGTATATTTGCTATAATCGTTTGATTTGCTCGTTAGTAGGAGACATGTCGTATTTAACTATATGGCTTTTTAATTAATAACATTTGTATTTAATCGTATGCTGCGTCAGTATTATCTTTTTACATCCTATCGTTTGATTATTAAGAGGCGTCGTATTTAATCTTTGTTGCAAATCGAACTAGCAGTGTTCGTCTTTTTATAATCCAATGCGTAATTCTATGGTTTCTGCATCATATTTCGTTGCTACATACGCATGCTATACATACATATATTGATATTTTGCGTATTTTTAATTACGCAGATCATATGAGAATTTATACAGCTTATATCTATCTATACTAGTTCTTTAAATTAGTAAAATAGTAAGTTTAAATACTCTAAATTAAGTAAACTAAAATTAAAAAAACACAAGCAAAGAGTAGATATAGTTCTCTAATTTAGAAATCCGTTTCTTCGTTCGTATTGATTTTCGATCGTTACCTACAAAAATAGAATATGAAATAGAATGACCAATGAAGAAGTTTGAAGAACACCTTGAAAAGAAGGAAACGTCTCGAGCCGAAGGTTCAGATATTCGCGAGTTTTTACTTCGTGGTGACTTTTCACATTTGCATATAATAGGAATACACGTGGCTGCAAATGACTCGTCGCGTACATGGAAAGAATGAAAAAGTTTCCGCGATAGTTGCGAGAAGAAACGACAGCGAAGAAAAAGAAAAGAGAGCTTAATAATAAAGCTCAATCATTAGGATTAAGAAGTTAGTGTTCGTTGTGAACAAAAATGCAAACAATAGAAAAACGCATTAATTTCTATATCCCGTTTCGCTGTTTTCTTTCTTCGTTTATAGAAAATCATTTTCCCTTCGGTTTAATTTTCATTTTGAACGAGCATTAATAATTATCATAATTAATTAACATTAATAGCCTTAATCTTTAATTATCCTATCTGTTGTATTTAATATCTAATATTTAATACGATAGTATTTATTTATTAATACTACATTCATTATATTTGTATTTAACATAATGTGTTCATTAATAATATCTATTTGTCTAAAATTTATTCATGTAATACAATATCAAAAATTATTTTGTTCACTTCCTTCGTTCACGACGATGTTAATTGTGTATATGTTAATTCGTAACGTAGTTAATCACATACATGGTCGCACGTATTACACGCGTGTACGCGTTGCGAATCAGTATATTTCTTACGATCGATACGCGTGCATCGAGATGAAAGAAATTTAATCCTTCGTACATTTTATTTAATACAGAAGCATTCGGAAGTAAGAAGACGGAAGAATATTATGCACATTGAATCAGAGTTACATAATGTGATTCATGTGGCAATAAAAAAACGAAATTGATCGCGTATTCGGATGGAAATAGTTCGTAATGGCTTAGCGAATACTTCAAATAATTGAAATAACAAAAGAATACTTTTAGTACTAACCGAAGCTGCAGTGTAGCAATATAAGTTAATCATCGATTTAGCAAAGTGATTCAATTCAGTTTTCTTCTGCATGCGTTCTGAATTCATATTTATTATCAAACCGCGAATGTTTATACCTTTGTAAGGAACTCAATATGATGGTTAAAGTATAAAATTTATATTAGAGGGAGAATTAGATGTTTTATTCATAAATAGTGGCGGATAAAAGAAAGCTAAAACATGAAATGATCCATAATTTTATAAAATGGAATTACATTTAATAAAAAGATACTAAATAAATAGATACTAATACACATCGCAGAGTAGATGACTGTTAATTGACAAAAAAGAATATAGACTATAGAAAACTTGCTTTTATTCACTGTTGTATTTTACGAAAAATCATTGAAATCTGTAAGAATGTACTGTAGTACATTTGTAAAATTTCTAGAGAAAAATTACGGATTAGTCTCTCATTTCAACTGCAGATGTTTATATATGTATGCTTGGAATATTTAAGAATGCAACAATCCATAGAATACAAATAATACTCAAGAATATATAAAATATCCAAAATATTTATCAATTTAATGAATGAAATAAATCTCTATTGGGATTTGTTTTTTAAATAAATTAAAATGAATGAAGTCACTGGAATCATAGGAAACTATGTCGAAAAGGAACATTTTCTCTAATTTTATCATTTTACCCTATGACTATTTATAAATTTTAAATGGAACTTCTACGTTCGTGTACATGTTCAAAAATACGTGTAAAATCGGGCTAATTAAATTATTCGATACAATAAACGTAATGTTATAAAGATGGTAGTTAAGGCATTAACTAGTAACGAGTAATATGCATAAACACTCGCGATCCATTTGTCATGGATTTAAATGTAAACAAGAATTTTTATACTTCAACCGTGTGTTAAATATATTTCAGTTGAGGACGATGAAACGAATTCACTTGGAGAGTAATTCGCGGCGCAGAAGATGGTCACTAAGATTCGGTCTTTTTCTCGTGTACATATTGGTCCAGTACGTTACTTGCGCGAAACTACCTGAAGAGGTAACGTCTCCTTATTTAAGTTCCACGGAACGCGAAGAAAATTGGACGACAGAGTCCACCGGGGAACCGTTCACGTCACAGATCGAGGTGAACGTCGAACCACGAGTAAATGAAAAGGGTGAAAGTGGCGTGGCGAAAGAGAAGAGTGAGAAAGAGGAAAAGAATGAGAAGAACCAGAAGAACGAAAAGGCCGAGAAGCCCGAGAAGACCGAATTGAAGAACAAAAGTGAAGAAAAGAACGAAACTCAGCATCAGAATGAGAATAAGAAGATATCTGAAGAAGAGAAGTCGAAGAATATACGTGGACAATCAAAGGGAGAGCAGCCGGTGGAGAAAGCTGCTCCGAAAAAAGACATTTTACCCAAGAATGTTCCTAGAACCACAACGGTGAGACGCGACTTTTATTTATTGAATTATTTAGCTCCTCTTTTATCCCTTTGTACTTTGACAGTCGCTTTAATGTGACTAATAATTGCTCACGGTAAAAATATATTATGTAAAATGAATATTTATGAATTGCTGCAAGATAGACAAAGAATGTTTATAACTACTTTGTGCAGTATAAATGTAAGGAAATTCTAAAGATTTTATTATCTATCTAGGTTTTATAATTTCAAGTATTTATGGGACTATAAATTACTGCTTGATCCTTAATGTGAACCTCTATTTTTCTAATATCTTAATGTTACCAGAATCAGATCATTTGAGATATAACAATTCGAATATTAAGACGTTATTAGAAAATTTTTTTCTCTCTTACGTTAACAATATTTCAAAAGTCGTCTAACGACATAAAAAATTTAATTTGTCACAAGTGACATAATTCTGAAAATGGAGAACTAATGTGATTGTAAATCGTTCGAGAATTTCATTCTGACGCGTATAAGAGATATTGGTTATTTGAGATTCTAGGTTCCAACAACGACCACTATGAAATATGAACGTGCAACGTGGAGGCCGCGAAGAGAAAATTGCTCACCTCCAGCGATTGAACAGTTTCCACGACCGGTGATGGGTCCGTCAGCTAGGAAACACGGTGGACTGATTATTCATATTTTGGTTGCAATTTACACGTTCCTCGGCCTTGCCATTGTCTGCGACGATTACTTCGTTTCCAGTTTGGATCGAATTTGCGAAGGTAAAATGGCACAAGAATTTTTCAAAGAAAATTCTTTCCAATCTCGAGATAACAAGACAGATTTGTTGTACTTGTATACACTGAGCAAGCACACCTCTTAATAAAAATTCTTTCACCGCTAAGGGAATTAATTAGAAATTAACAAAGATCTTGATCTTCTTTGTGTAGAACTACGATTATCTCCGGACGTTGCTGGAGCAACTTTCATGGCCGCAGGTTCATCAGCCCCAGAATTGGCAACCGTGGTGATCGGTGTCTTCTTTGCCAAGGACGATATCGGTGTAAGTATTATGTACAGAATCTCGAATTGTTCTCTGATCAAAAGTTCACATCAAACGAACATATGTGTAATTAAATGGTTTTTGCTAATACGAGTAATTGCATTTCAAGACTCGAAAGGAATATTGTGCAGCGAGTTGCTGTTGGTGTTGCAGGTGAGCGGTGTGATCGGCAGCGCGGTGTTCAATATAATGTTCGTGATATCGGTATGCGGATTGTGTACGACGACAGTGTCAAAGTTGAATTGGTGGCCCCTTTGCCGGGATTGTTTTTTCTACGCTGTATCGATTCTGGTGATGCTCGGTACAATTTACAACGAATCAATATCCTGGTAAGAGAGGCTTGTTATCGAGACTCTTGTTATGATATAGTTAGCCATGAAAGTCTTCGTGTATCTTATAAAGAGGCCATCTTTTTCTATAAATAAGGTGATCGAGCCACGTCAGTCTTTATTAATTCCTTAATTTTGAAAAATCATTCTCTCCGCAGAGAAATTATATAAATAACTAAATTATAAGGTAAATTTAAAAAAATTTTTTAAATATTTTTCTAGCTTTCAATTTCCAATGTGGGAAGTTTTTGAGTGGCTCGATAACATTCTACGATAACATACATTTAATAATAAAATACGATCGTATTAATACAGAATACGCCAACTTTGAATGAATTTTATTTTTTATTTTAATAAAATATAGTTATCACATTGTCGATTTTCATTATACTTTTTACAGGATGGAATCTCTATTCATGTTGATCATGTACGGTGTGTACTGCATTGCTTTATCTTTCAACGCTAGGCTGGAACGTTGGGCGAAATCGTACAATATACCTTTTCTACCAAAAGACGATGAACCTGCAGAAGAGAGCGCTCTCGTTAGTTATAGATCGTTACAAGAGGATCGATTGTCTTACACAGGGCCGAGTTCACCTACGGATCAATATAAAACGCAAGAAGGTAAACACTAATTATTATCAGATACCTATAATCAGATAAAATACGAATTTCATTTCATAGTTTATTGTAATCTTTATAACAAGAAAAAATTATAAGTATACCACACACGCACAAGATACAAACACGTACAGTCTTATTTATTTTTAGTTTATCCTAACTTTGACAAGAAGAGAAATATAAAAATAAATATATAACAATGTCTAATAGCTCTAACTATAAAATAAATAATAATCTGACAAGTTTGAAATAAATATGTAGATCGTATGTTACAATTTACTATGTAAAAATTATATTTTTACGAGTAGATACAAACACGTACAGTCTTATTTATTTTTAGTTTATCCTTTGACAAGAAGAGAAATATAAAAATAAATATATAACAATGTCTAATACCTCTAACTATAAAATAAATGATAATCTGACAAGTTTGAAGTAAATATGTAGATCGTATGTTATAATTTACTATATAAAAATTATATTCTTACGAGTAGATTTTTACAAATAGAGTGTTGCTTGATGTAACAGGAGGTGCAGCACCAGGAGGACCAAACGTTCCTGAAACGAACGAGCCACCACCTCCAAAGCAACCGGAGTATTACAAAGCAAAAGAACCAGATCCAAATGAAGTATCGCCGCTAGAAAAGCCTACTGATGGTAGCAAGTGGACTCTATTTACCTGGGGTCTCGTCTATCCGATTCATTTCATGTGTCGTGCTACAATGCCGGATTGTCGACAAGACAAATTCAGGAATTGGTATCCCTTTACTTTTTGCGTGTCGATGGTTTGGATCAGTTTCTATAGCTACATCATGGTGTGGATGATTACGATCATAGGTAAGAGACAGTGGTAATAATGATTCGAAATATCTCCAAAGAATTACCTTCGTATTAAATAGTGGATTTTAATCGAACAATCGTTTTGCAATTTATAAAAATAATTGACTTGTAGAATATTGTCTCTCTTGTAATTGAATTGTTTACTGTTATTCAAGGGAATTTATTAGCACTAGTACTTGTAACTTGTAAAGTTTTGTTAACTTGAATAATGATCATGAAACTGTTGGAAAGTTAATTAACGCACATTTCTAGGTGTAAATATTTCAAGCACCTCTTTTAAATATAGGCTATCAGCTCCTTTTAGCTTTAGGTTCAGTATATAAATTGAACTTGTTAAATTGAATTTAATCGGTGGATTTTTGCGAAAGTTTTTTTCAATGCAATGTCGTTCATTATTCTTCAACGAAAAATTTAATTTCTCGTAGGCAGCACGCTTGGTATACCCGACACGGTGATGGGTTTGACATTCGTCGCTGCTGGTGTCAGTGTACCCGACGCCCTTTCATCGTTAGCCGTGATAAAAGAAGGCCTTGGTGACATGGCGGTGAGCAACGCTGTCGGTAGTAATGTCTTCGATATACTAGTTTGCCTCGGGCTTCCATGGTTTATACAAACTGCAATGATACAGCCCGGCTCCCACGTGAACGTCACCAGTCGAGGTAAGATTATTATGTGATTCATCAAGTATAAACCACTAGACTGCGAATGTTCATACAAAAGTTCATACTAATAGAAATTTTATGCTTAATACAAAAACTGATATTTATCATGTTTCTTTTCTTCGTTGGACAATCTTCTATAT